GATCCAAATAAAATTGGAGAGTATAAATGTTTGAAATCAGCTAGGTGCGGTGGTGCATGTGTGTCATCCTGGCTACTCAGAAGGCTGAGGCAGGATGATCACAAGTTCTAGGCCAGCCTGAGCTACTAGTGAGAGTATCTCAAAATTAAAAAAAAAAAAATTAAAGGGTTGGGGATGTAGCCTAGTGGCAAGCATGAGGCCCTGTGTTCAATCTCCAGTACTGCAAAAACAAAGTGGGAAATCTGATGCAGACATCTGTAAGAAAATATTTTCCTTCTCTTTTTTACAGTTTTAACTTTTTCATTTAGTTATTTTTACAGAGCATTCTTATGTCTAAGAAAATGAACTCAAACTAACTGAAGTGAATGAATTATTCTGAAAGAAAAGCAAAAGTTAAAAAGTTAATTGTTTTCACTAGAGCTTTATTTATAAAAGCACATAATTACTGGAAGTATCCTTTGTCCTAGCAAATTAACTCAATGTAAGAATCTTGAGAGCTTTTTAATGATTGAATAAATATTTAAAACAGTGGTTACATACTTTCCCTGAATAGTTTATTTTTAAAAATGTGAATATTTGTGAATTGAAACTGTGAGACTAGCCGAGAGGGGAAGTAAAAAGAATGTACTTATTATTTATCACAAACATATACTAATAGGGTGAAAACAGAAACCTTGTACACCAAAAATATACATTTCTGGTCTATGATACATCTAAAATATTATTGGACATGTACTGAATAAACACTGAATTTGGTACAAAGCATTTCATGCAGTACTAGTTTCTGATTTCATACAGCTTGGTGTGTTGGCTAACTTGTAGGTCTGGCAAAATAAGTATAAATTCAGTTAGAAAAATATGTATGTATAAAGTGGAAATTGGGCCAAGAAAGCTTATTTGCATATTAACCCAGATGTGATTTGGTCTTACACTACAGGGACTACTGCTTCATTGAACTATTTTAACTTAGTGTATGTGAACATTGTTAGGAGGTATACACTCTTATTACTTTCTCAAATGTTTAAAATTAAATAAGCATAGCTACTAAAATAAAAAGTCTCTATAATGAACAAAAAAATCTAAGAGACTAGAGAAAGTCAACAAGGATAGAGATGTACTGTCCCCAAACTGGTGGCTGGGCACCTAACATGGGCATTCTAGTCTGCTTCCTTTCAATCGTGCAACATCAGTGAATTCAGAGCCATCAGACTCAATAAGGTTGAGTTCTGACTCTGGTGCCTGAGGGGCTAATTGAATGAATGTGCAGGTCTCACTCCATGTACTCTCTCCTTGAGTGTGGGGTTGGTACTCGTGGATGTGATGGGACATCACCCCTATGAGTAGGTTATGTTATATTGTGGAGAAAGGGTTTCACAGATGTATGAATTAAGGATTTGAATGAATTTCCTTTGAGTTAATTCCAAAGGAGATTATCCTGGGTGGGCCTGGCCTAATCAGGTGGGTCCTTAAGGAAGAGATTTGAAGTGTGAATAGGCAAACTGTGAAATCCTCATGGTGGAGGCCACAGAGCAAGGATCTGGGAGTGGCTTCTAGCTGACAGCAGCCGCCCTTATCAGCAAGAAATCAATAACTTTAGTCCATGGCTACCAAGAAATGAATTCTAGCAACAACTTGGAGGCACCTAAAAGTGATCTTCATCCACTTGGACCTTCAAGGAAGATACAGTCAGCTGACACCTTGGTTTCAGATTTGTGAGACCCTGAGCAGAAAACCCAGCCATGCTGTGCTGGACTCAACCCACAGAAATTGAGATGGTAAATTTGTGTTGTTTTACACGGCTAAGTGTGTGGATATTTGGTACAAGGCAATAGAAAATTGATACAGGCTGATTTTTTATTAAACACATGGCTTGTTCAGGACACTAGACCTTGGGTTCTGAGACAAATAATGACAACATGGTCTATTAAGTGCCCCACAACAGAGCGATATATTAACTGCTTTAAAGGTTGATGGTGCACACATGAACGCACTCTATTGAACTAAACAATACATTAACTCACGAGTTGAAATCTCCACAGTTAAGGTCGGTCTGTAGCATAGAACCCCAAGAAACTCCCTTTTCTGGGCACGGGTGACCATTCTCTTCCGCCATTTTATCTTTATTCTCTTTCCTTCTCATACTGTTTAGTGGTTTGGGTTTACCAAGATGCAGATGCCCATCTCTGTTGGCACTTACCACTTAACATCTTAACCCATTACTGTGGCAGCCCTGTGTGGTTATACCAGACAAGCATTATGTGTAGACATGTAGGAAACTAATTGAACTCTTTTTGCCCTTTTTTTTTTGGTACCAAGGATCACTTGGGACCTTGCACTTGTGAGACAGGCAGGGGAAACAATGAGCTAAATCCCTGGCCCTTAATTTAACTTAGTTCTGAAATTGACTATGTGTTGTTGTATTACTTCTTGGACCCTTGTTTTCCTTATCTACGTATAAAAAAAAGATCTTATGTTTTGCCAATCTACTGAGGACAAAAGAGCATGGAAAAACTGCATTTCAACGAGCAAATTCTCCCTGATTATCTTGTCTCCATGAGTCAGAGATATTTCTTTATATTCTTGCCAGTTAAACCAATGATCTCTGTTTTGACATGTGCATATTATTTTACTCTTCATGGCAGGGAACCTAAGTGGGGTAGGGAAGGTATGAGACTCTTTGGACATTAGAAGGAGGTAAACTGACTCAGTAACAGCACAAAATTAAGATGCAGATGTAAGGTCTGATACGATGATTTTACCGAGTTGTGCAGAAGGTAAGAGTAGGAACATAAGTATAGGGAAAATCTGGACAACTGACATGTGGATCTGAATGAGGTGGGACATTCAAGATGAACCAAGTGTTTTGAAAAGCTCTAAAAAGCTAGGGTGGAAGGCAGTCGGAGGCCATGTACCAACAGAATAAGGTCACCCTCAATGAATCCAGTCTGTTCCTTTGGACCAGAGAGAGGGGAGCCCTACACTTCTGGAGGCCTGTGGTATATCACAAAACCCTGAGTTGGCGGTGAAGGTTTAGGGGAGAAAGCTGAAGATTCCTGTAATCAATCCTTTCTTAGCTGGAGATCCCCCCTGAGTTATTTCCTAGAAAACTGTCCTTTAGGAAGGATCATTCTCTCAACAGTCCCTGGTCAGTGTATTTCTTGGTAGGTTAATGTTCTGTCTTTTTAGCTCTATTTTGATTTTGTCCAATGGATCGGACTTTTTATGTACCTGATTTTCTATCTCTACCTCTCTTTCAGGATAGAAGAGGGACCTGTCCTACTCATTCAATTTTTATGGAGAGGGAGTTGCTGTTTGGAAGGTTGTCTCTTCTGTTGACAAAAGGACTGACACAAATAACCCAGAGGGCCTCCTCTGTCAACACCTTGAGGTACCCTGTGCCTCTTCCCAGCATCCCTCCTGCCCCAGGGTAGGCCCAAGCCAATTTTGGGAAGTCAGTGCTGCACCCCCTTCTCCACATGCCAGGAAGCCAGCAAGACATCTCCTTGGCCTGCTTCCAGCTCACGCCATCAGGCAGGAAGGTAGAACGATCAAGGGGCAATTCAAACTCACCGCAGTTCTAGTAATGAGTTCATTAATGAGCTCCAAGTCACAACAGCACAGTGCTATGAACTGCTGTGAAAAGCATTCCTGCCTAACACAGGGACGAGGAGGAATAGGACACACTAAAGCACAGGCTCACCTGGCACGGGACTGCATCTTTGGAAGCCTGAAGTGCTGTCCTTATAAAAATGCAAAGCAATCCAAAAGGAAGCGCTGTGATCTTTAAAAGGTCAGAGTAAGTCTGAATATTGATTCTTTTTAAGATGTTTTATCAATTAGAGACCAGAGGATTTTTCCCGATATTTATTTCATAAATGTAATTATTTTTCTAAAACATATTAAAATAGAAAACATATTCTTTTGATCAATTTATACAAAGAAAATACCAATACAGTAATAAAAATACTGAAAATATATGAAAAGCACCAGAACATTAGAGAAATTACACCAGCAACAATTCTAGGACTATATTTTTTTGTAATTGTACAATAAAGTGCTATTACATCCAGTCAAAATTAGTGGCAAGATATAAAAACAGTTATGGTATTATGAAATTTGAGGCTAGGTTTAACAGCAATTGCATTTTAAGCTACTTGCAGATCAAGCTAATGATATTTCGTTAATGTTTTCATGAAAAAAATCTATTAATTTTCATTCCTATGTGAAAGCTAAAATCAAAATCTAAATGAAAGTCCTTGGTATTTTGTCATGAACAGGTAATGGCATGAGAAAAAGAAAATTATTGATTAGAGTACCAAAACTAATAATCATACAAATGTAATTAGAACCAAACGATGACATAAAAAAATCAAATGTAAATATATGTGATTAATCAAGACAAGTACAAAAGTTTAGATGCCTTTGACTTTATAGTTAGTTTTTGGTAATTTTTATCACATTTAATAGACAAACATTAACAAGATAGGTTACCAAATTCAAGTGACCAGACAGGGCTATTTTAGTGAGTCAATACAATTTTCATATGAAACATTAAAGGGACACTGTTAGGACAATACAGTTCCAGTCATGGCTAATTATTTCCTCATTTATTTGCAGAGGAACAAAAAACATATACAAATACTTTGGGATTAGATTAAGGCCAAAAAGCTACCATGTAAGGGGAAGCCACTGTGCACACACACAAAGGGAGATACTGTGCACAGTACTTAGGGTGGACTGCAGTCCATTTCACATCTGGAGGTGGCAAACTGAAACAGAAAAGCCCAAATTAAGACAAAGTATCACACCAGTGTCCTTTTAAGGTTTTACTTCCTAGGCCAGTTTTGTAGGAACTATTGTATCATTCTTCATAACTCAGTTTTGGAAACCAACTTCTTCAAGATGAGAGTGGCTAACACTACACTTCATAATAAGAATAAATCTCCAAACATGGCTCAGTTGAAACTCAAAATTTATTTTACAGGAAGACTATTTTTTTCTTTCATATAAAGTAGATACACAACCAAAAGCACTGAAACTGGCCATACGAATGAGAAATCAAACTACAATTTCATTAGCCTCTGCTTCTGCCAGGTCTATCTCTTCAGCAATGTAGGAACCATACCGGTAGGTATTACTATACTAAAGGTAGAATATCAAGTCAGTCAGTTAGCCCTGGGCTGAAGGTTTTATAGTCCACTATGAGTAATATTTTTCATTCTCTGAGAAAAAGACCTGACACTTGAGCTTCTATGCTTTTTTTTTTTTTCCCTTTTCATCCTTATGGGATAATTCAGTCTTTTGTAAGCTTCCTACTTATGGCTGATTTTAACAAGGAACAGTTTGAACCATAAATTATATTGCTTAGAATCTCAAAAAAAGTAGCTCTTCAAAGAAAAGTGTCATCTAACACTTTTCATTTAGAAATACGGGTGAAGATGGTGCAATTTGTAGACCACAGAGACTCCTGTGATCTGGAAGGAACAAGGAAGGACGAGGCCTTTATCATCGATTTGGCAAGAGGTTCAGTGTCCAGCCATAGTGGACAACATGAAGCTGCATAGAGATGAATGGAAAATGGGACTACTTGGAGAGACTCAACAGAATTCAAGGAAAATTCAACCACACTTAGTTTTGCAAATTTTACCCAAATGAGAATGTTCATAGAAAAGCCCAGGATTAATAAGTAGGCTGCTAAAGAACTCTGAGAAACAAAGGCTAAGGTGGTTTGGCATTGAAAGGTTTACATTCCAAAAGAACATTGACTATCGTGTGGAAGTAAGTTTCAAAATTACAAAGTCAAGATTACATAAATTACTCTGTTTAAGTATGTTTTCTTTTTCAATATACATGTTTTTTTATTTACATTGTATAGAAAAGCTAGTAAGTTGGCTCAGCTATAATAATCCTGTCATCAAAAAGCAGAATACATTTTTTGGCTGCACCAAAGCATGTTACTTACTTTTCAGTTCAGCTAATGTATTTACATAATAAATATTAAGCTTTTTTTTTGGTGGTATTGGGACCAGACAGGGCCTTGTGCACACTAGGAAAGTGCTCTACTGCTGAGCCACAACCCTATTCCAAAACTTAAGCTTTAAAAGTACTTAAATCAAAGGGCAAATAAATTATATTTAAGCTATTAATTACACAATGCATATGCCTTTACTTACTTTCCTAACTAGCTATAAGTAATGAATTTCTCCAGTGTTTATTTAAACAGTTTATTTTTCAAGACAGGTATATGTTGCATCCCTATAAGTGCTGCATATTTCCTTTTAGGAAGCACAAATATGCAGTACGTTTAGTAGCTTGGTGGAGACATTTTGGGTTTGTTATTTTTTCCTAACAACTGAGAAAGGAGCTGTGTTTGTGTCCAGGCACCGCTTCTTTAATTGTACAACGAATAAAAGAAGGTGACAACTGAAGCAAGCAAGAGCGTTGTTAAGGCAAGTAGCAGCTGCTGGAACCAGATACAACGCTGAAGTTGGTCTTCAAGCTTCCTATTGCTCTCTAGTAAATGATTGAGCTAAAGAGGAAAAAGGGATGAAAGAGCTGTATCAATAAAACAATTATTAATCATGGCAATGACAAACAGGAATATTAGAAATCCAAACACTAAAGATATAGGGTCAATCTATTCTGAAAGGCAGAGAGCCAGAAATGCAAGGAGACTTTCAATTTGTGTCGTGGATAGGTATGTTTCTGCTTACTTGTGTTTCGAAAGGTCTCATTTTCTAGTTAAGACAGAAGACCAAGTGCTTCCTGGAGGTATGTAAACCCTTGAGCAACTCAGCAAGAGAGCCCTTCTGTCTCTTTCTCTTTTGTAGTGCTGGCCAATAGAACCTAGGGCTTTGAGGATGGTAGTCAAGGAGTCTACCACTGAGCTACATCTCTAGTCACTTTTCGTCTCTTTCAAATTTTAATGCACTACTTAGTACCTGTCTCTGCAAGATGGAATTCTTTGATACTTGGTCCCTATTCCATATTAAACTGGCCAGAGCTTTTAAAAGGTTAGTTGATTTCCAAGTCATTTACCACTTACCATTCCTGATTTGGTTTCTCTGCACAAAGAAGGGAAGGCTGTGTATATGCCAAAGAATTCCACTTATGTCAGGGGAAAAATGAATTTCTAATGTCAATTGGCATTAACAACTTGTTTTGGGTAGGAAGAAAGTATACTTACTTGTAAGTATATATCCTCACTGGTTTTATCTGACACGTTAGGAGCACTGTCTTTTAATGTCAGAGTATTTGGTTTACTGGTCTCCACAGTATGGCATGTTAACCTATGAAAAATCCAGAGGAAAGATAACTTCTTAAGAGCTATAGTGAATTTTCCTATATAAGTAAAATATAAAACAAAAAAAGTCGAAAATGGGAATCTATGTAATAGAAGTAAAAGGGGTCATTCCTTTCCCCGGGTTCACCTCAAGTAGTAACACAAATTTTATTTATCTTCCTCCTGCTGCTTCTCCTTTTTTTTGCACTGGGTTTGGCCCATAACAGACAAGTGCTCTACCAGTGAGCTACAACCTCAGTGCTCTTCTAGCATCATAATATATGTACAAAGAATACAGATGGTGGATTCTGCTCACCATCTCGTGGGATTCAATGGTAAGTCCTCCCATACAGGAGATTGAACCCAGGACCTTCACACTGACACTGAGTGATATCCTCAGCCTTTCTTCAGTGGAATTCATCCAAATCTTTACTATTTGAAAGCAGCCACACTTTCTAGACAGCAGATAGTGCTCTTTTCTTGCTCCTTCCAGACCAAATCACCAAGTTTCCCTCCCACTTTCTAGGAGAAAACAGTGATTCTCTCTTCACAGTTTCAGAGAAAGCATGCCATTAGGAAAAGGTAAAGCCAAGACAAAGAAAATAAACACAGTTCCATGAGTGAATGAAGTAAGGCATTTGAAACTGGGCTAGCACACAGCAAGCACTTCTATACAGCCTCAGGATCCCTTAAGAAAACAAGCTAGATCACCTAACAGCTTTGCTCAGCAACAACTAAGAGTTTCTCCTCTCAAGCTCAAGTCCTCATTGGCAATGGTCTGGTATCCTACTTTCTTTATTTTCCCATCTCCTGGCCACACCCACCCCACTTACTGGAGTTAGGCAACACTGAACTCCTTGGTGTCCTCACACAAGCCAATTTGCACTTCCCTCTGCCTACAAAGCTCTTTGTTCAGTTACCAATGTGTCTTGGTCTCTCATTTCCTTCAGATCTTACTCCATGTGTCATCAGTGGTCATCTCTACCCCATAAAGCCAGGGTTTCTCACCTTGGCACTACTGACATTTGGGGGCATGCGTTTTGGGGGATTGAGGCTGTGTTCTGCACTGCAGAAGGTTTAGCAGTATCCCACTAGATACCCATTGTACCTCATCCCCCAGCTATGCCAACTAAAATGTCTCTAGACACTGACACATGCTCCCTGGGGGCAAAACTAGGGATACTCCAATAAATCATAATTCCAATAAAAAAAGAACCAGATTAAAACAAAATTACAACACAGCCTTCTCTATTCTCCCTTTCTTCTCTACATCTGTTAAGACATTTATCACAACCTGACTCGCACACACATACACACATCTCATACACTCAAAGGTTTTTCCCCCTTTAAATAGGATAATGTCATACATATTTTTCTGAGATTAGTTTCTTTTATATTAATACATCACAGATGTCTTTCCATGTCAGAACAAACATACTGCACTTTTTCGAATGGTTGCAAGGTATTCTTTAGTGTAGATATACATAAATGTAGGATTTCATTGCTGATTTACTGATGAGCATATAAGTTCTTTCTAATTTTTCACTATTACAAACAATGATGCAACCAACACTCTAGTACATGAAGAGAGTAGTCCTACCGGGGAACTGCTGGGACAGAGACATACATATGTCATCCTGACAGATTCAGATTCTTGCCCTGCTCTGCCGAGCGCATTTCTGTTATTAGCGACTCCCTGAACAGTGCCAGCTCATTCATCTCAGCATCTCCTGAACCTGCCAGATGTGAGAAGTGAGGGACAGTGCCTCACCCAGGGAGGCACATTCCTCTGATTCTTCCACCACATCTGGGAGCCTGTGAATAACTTTTTTTTTTTTTTTTGGTACCGGGGATTGAACTCAGGACCTTGTGCTTATGAGGCATGTGTGGTGCCACTGAGCTAAATCCCCAGCCTATAACATTTTTTGGGGAGCCTGTGAATAAAGTGCTTACCTATGCTCCACCACTTTGTTTCTGGGAACTTCCTTCCAAAACTGAGTCAATTCTGCTGGCCCTGTGCCAGGTGACTGTTCCATTTCTGCAGCCATGATCAGAAACCGGTCTTGGGCAGAGACCGTTAAGCCTGTATTTCAAAAGGGTAATTTAGCATAGAAACAGGAACCTACACAACTGGCTAGATATGTGGCTTACGACATTATTCCAGAATATAACATGAAGGAAAAATAAGAAAAGGAAGATATCTTAAACACGAAAAAAGTCCTAAAATTGAGGAACTTCGGTTTCTTGAAATTCAGTTGCAATTGGTGTCAGTTTAAATAATTTTACTCATTAAAAAACAATTACATTTTAATGATGGAAAGGGCATTGGAGACCTCGCTGACCATCTCATTTCCCATGTGAGAAAACAGATGCCCAGAGAGTTGAGGTCAATCTCTGATACTCTAATGTCTAGATTCACCTCTGCACTCAGTGGGGGCCCAGGTCCCCACTCTCCACCACACTGGCTGTGGCCATGAGTGATAACTCACCCCCGTGGGGAGAAACAACTATATCGACTGATGCACCCGGGTCACAGCTGCTGTTGCTTGGCTTGACTCTGTACTTTTCTGGAGCAGTTGTTCTCACCTGTTTAGAAACACAGTAGTCACATAACCTGTATAACAACAACCTGTATGCTCTTCTGGGGGAATTCTTTAAGAATGGCTTTCTAAAGCATCAGCAGTTAATAACCAACAAGGAAAGGTTCTACAAAAAAACTCTGCTGGCTGTTATGGCTTATAGCTAAATGTTTCTGCAAAGCCTCTTGAGGCCATAGATGGATCTTTTGGCAGGTGACTGGATCAGGGGTGTGTGATACAAGGTTAGGCCACTGATGAGTTTACAGCTGGGTGTGATGTTGGGAGACAAAACCTGCTGGGAGGTGGGTTGCTGTGAGTGCAGCCTGGAGATACACACACACACACACAGATACATACATAGCATTTCTCTTCCTCCCTTGAGCACTAGCTACTTCCTGGCCACTATGCCATGAGCTCCTCCTCTGCCAGGCCGCCCTGCCTTGGAGCCAGCCAGCAGGACTGAAACCTCTACAAAGTGTGAGCCAAAATAAACCTCTCCTCCAAGTGTTGGGTATTGTGTCTCAGTGATGAGACAGAAACTAAGCGATTTTGCATAGAATGTATTTTTCTTCACCCAACAGCATAAAAAACACCTCAATCTACCTAAGAAAGTATGTTTTTTTGTTTTGTAGTACTGGGGGATTGAACTGAAGGCCTTCACACTGAGCTACAACTCCAGCCCTTTTTTGTTTTTATTTTAAGACAGTCTTGCTAAGTTGCCCAGGCTGGGCTCGACCTTGCAATCCTCTTGATTTAGGCTGCCAGAGTGTGGGATTTACAGGTGTGGATCACCACGCCTGGCTTAAAAAGATACTTCTTTTATTAAGTCCTACTGTCACTTAAACTTCTTCTTGAGTAAAAAAATCAACGCCTTTATTAAATATTTATTGTCTTCTACTACCCTGAATGTAATAAAATAGAATAATGTAATAAAATAGAATGCACATTGTATCACATGAATAGAGTGCAGAAATTAAAACAGTGGATGATCAAAGCCTATCCAGAACATCCTAGCTGTTATATCTAAATTAAATAGGAGATTTAAGGAATGCCTACAATATGGGTGACAGACTCAGTATTACTATACTTAAAATTCAGTAAAAGATTAGTCACTAATATAAACTATAGTCCAGAAAAATGCACTTTAGGGTTTATAGTTTTATCTCTCACTGCTGCTATGAAGTAAATTATTCATATAATGAAGAATGATTTTTTCTTGGGCTTTTATTTACAACAAACATTAAACCCCAGGATTAATATCAGTCTATTAGTGCTCATTAAAGCCCAAGATACAAATCCCAGGGGAAATTTTAGAAAAACTATGCCTCTGGGTTAGAACTAGAAGGTACTACAACATGCCTAAAAGTATCATAAATAAAAATACCGTGCAAGTTCAATTTTTGCACAAGGCTGCTCATTGTTATCAATCTTTCGATTAGAATATGTGCCAAATCATTTCCCATGTCACACTTTCAGACATAATTTATTATATCTTTAGATATTTACCTTAAATGCTACCACATTTTTAGTTACATTTGTTAACACTATTAAGGTTTTCTTCTCTCCAGATTCAGTACTTCCAAAATACAGTTCTTCTGCTGGGCTAGGTAGTAACAAAAACATAAGGTAGTTGTATATTCAGAATAAATGATAATGTAAGCACTAGCTTGAAAAAAATTATTTGATTCATATTTTATGCTCATTTTTATAAGGAGATTTCACTGAAAAAGAAGACTACAAAACAATTACCTCATACAATTTTGTATTTTAATCTTAATGATCCAATGCATGCTATTTAAGAAGCCCAATAGTTTTCCCTAAGGTCAAAAGCAAAATAGGGAAGAACAGAAGAATTACGAAAATTCTGAATTAATCCTATAATCAACACAATGTTAAGTTGCATTTATTTAAACCCTTTGGAAGATTATGGATTATAATCAAAGCAAAAAAGGTACCACTGCTTCAACTTTCTTTAATTACAAATAGATTAGAATCAGTCGTATTTTTATATATCAACAGAGAAGAACATAACTTAAAAAGAAAGATCATTAGGGATGTACTTAAGTTACAGAATAATTTCTTACTATACAATGGCTTTTCGAAGTGATAGAGCCAAAAAAGAAATGCAGAAATAAGTTTTGGGGAAGAACTAAAGGAAGAACTTATCAAATAATAAAATCAACGAGCCTCAAAATTCAAATTTTACTGTCATTGGCCACTGTAATGCCCATGACCCAAAATATAAATTAAAAGATTCAAGCAAAATTTGTGGTTTCCTCACCTTAGTCAAATGGTATTAGGTGGTTTAAAACAAGGGGAAGAACATTTTGAATGCTATTTTTTGTTTTAATTAATGAATTTTTGGGTTTTTTGAGACAAAGTCTCACTTTGTAGAATATGTATAGGAGCAGCTCTGTGATTCTGTCAGGGGTACAGGTAGGGGGACAGTTCCAAAATGCAGCCCCAGAAGCTGTCCTGCTCCAGCCTGGCGCTCTTCCTTACTGGTATTCTGATCAACCCTCGACACCTGTATGCTAGGCTCTGTGTTTTTGACAGAGTTCCCATAAAAACATGGAATGTGTAACTTCCAAACTATAAGAAAAAACCAGAACAAGCAAGCAAAAAATAAACTCTAAAGGGGGAAAATGGCAAAGAAAAATATTGGAAACAAAATGTGTGTGTGTCTCTCTCACATACAGACAGTGGAAATAAACCCAACTGTAAGTAGCCAAAATGTATGTAAACAAACTAATTTTGTCAATTAGACACAGAATCTTAAAGTTTTAAAAAAATCTTGGCTGTACTGCTGATATAAGACATCTAAATAATAGTTATATAGGAAAGTTTCAAGCAAAGGGAGAAAAAAATGCTACATAAGACTGAATGGATTTATCAACCAAAAGCATCACTGAAAGAGAAGTTTTACATCACAGTACAAAAAATAATCCTAAATCTTTTGTTTTTCCAGTGCTGGAGATGAAACCCAGGACCTCACCCATATCAGACAAGTGCTCTACCACTCAACTATATCCCCAGCCCCCAATCCTAAATAATCTTTATGATCAAATAACCTAGCAATAGAAATGGAGATGAATTAGGTTTTAGCTAGAAACTTATTTTTCTATATTTGCTTTTGGTTTTTAGAAGGACAAATCAATAAATGCTTCTTGTGGCAGCATTTCAGGAATCCCCCTACTTGGGTGAATATTATCAGTAATATGAGAAAAATACATCATTCAGATTTATTAATATATGAATATTCACTTTTATTATCTGATGTGTGATGAGGGCCCTCTACACACTAAATGTTATGAATATAAAAAGTTATTTAAGTATCTACTATATCCAGAAACCAAGGTGAGTCTTCACATAACCCTTAATTTTTAATTTCCAGTTTCAAAAAGAGTACAGAAGTTTTCATTTTGCAGCACCCTCAAGGTGATGAAAATATGTTTCAAGAGTATAGCTAATAAAATCTTATTACCTGATATGTAATAAGGGCCCTTTAAATACACTCAATGGTTTCTTGAAAGCTTTCATCTTTGAATCAACTTTTTCATTTTCTTCTGCTTTGGAACTCGATTCAGTTGGGTTAACCTAAAGACAAAAAGGAAATAAACAAAAACACAACAGACAAAAGATAATGACATTTTAGTTTTACACTGATAGCTGGACAAAGCATTAGGCCAAAAAGTAAACATTATCTGATTCACAAACTATAATCTTTAACATAGGTTTACTGTATCTAAATGTTACATTTAATATGTACTAACATGGCAATAAACATGTATTTGAGAGCCTACTATAAAAAATGCACTACTAAAAATATAACATGGTCCTTCCCTTGAAAGTATTTACATTTGTACTAAATTATAACATATTTATCAAGCCCTTGAAAACTTGTAAAGAATAACAATTAAGTGTTTTTAAAAATGAGATAGAGGGCCGGGGATTTAGCTCAGTGGTTTCGCTGGCTGCCTTGTAAGCACTCAAGGTCCCGAGTTTGATCCCTGGTACCAAAAAAAATAAAAAAGAGATCAGACAAAGGTCTACTGTCTAGAATTTATAAAGAACTCAAAAAAATCAGATCCCCCCCCAAATATAAAAACCCGATTCAAAAATGGGCATATGAATTGAACAGACATTTCTCAGACAAAGAAGTAAAAACAGCAAATAAATATATGAAAAAATGTTCAACATCACTGGTCATTCGAGAGATGCAGATGAAAACAAGACTGAGATTCCACTTCACCCCAGAAAGAATTGGTGCTATCAAATCAACCAATAACAAATGTTGGCGGGGGTGTGGGGAGAAAGGAACCCTTCTCCACTGCTGGTGGGAGTGCAGACTGGTGCAACCACTGTGGAAATCAGTACGGAGATACCTCAAAAAACTAGGATTAGAGGTCCCAATTGACCCAGCTATTCCCCTGCTGGGTATCTTCCCCAAAGAATTAAAAGAATCATATCACAGTGATATATGTGCACCTACGTTTATAGCAGCGCAGTTTGTAATAGCTAAATCTTGGAAACAGCTTCCAAATGCCCATCAACTGGAGACTGGATAAAGAAGATGTGGTTTTTCTATAAAATGGAGTACTACTCAGCCATAAAGAACGAGAAACTAGAGACATTTATAGCTAAATGGATGCATATTGAGGCCATACTCTTAAGTGAAATAAATAGGACACACATGTGTAACTACCAAATAGTTTCTCTGGTGTGAAAAACTAAAGGTGTAAATGAGGTTCAAATGCTATAACTGATAATGTAAAATAGGAAGAAAAGGTCTAAAGGAGCAGGAGAAGTGGGAGAGGAAGGGGAAAGGAAAGAAGGGAAAGGAAAAAATATGAGAAAAGGAAAAAATGGAAACAAAGTCTCTGTAAATAGAGAAGGGAGGAGGGGGTGAAGGGAGGGCAGGGAAATGGGGGAAAATATAAGAACTAAGATACATCATGTACAGGTACAAGATGCCAATGATGAATGTAACTGTATTTTATACCTAAAATGTACCAATAAACTTAATGAAAAAAAAAAGAGATAGACGCTGTGTGCAGTGGCCCATGCTTGCTTGGGAGGCCAAGGTGAGAGAATCATAAATTTTGAGGCTAGTCTGGCTAATTCCAAAATTGAGACCTTGTCTCAAATTAAAGGAAAAAAAAAAAAGAAAAAAAGGAAAACAAAGGGCTGGGGATGTAACTCAGTAGAATGTTTGCCTAGCATATGTGAGACCCTCAGTTCAATCCCTAGTACTACAGAAAAAGAAAAAAAGGTATGGTTTTAAATTAATCAGTTTCCTTTTTAGGCTAGACAAATCAAAATGTGAAATAATTCCTTCCTTCCATGTGCACTTTACCAATTTTATAGAAAGCATGGACTCAGTTTTTTATACACTGAAAATGGTGCTACTAATCAAGTCATCTCATCCCTCATTCTTTTTACAAAGGTATGGAAGGGCAGCAAGTTTAGCGAATTACATAAAATCACACAGCTAGCTAGCAGTAGTACTGAGACTAGACCACAGCTTTTCATTCAATTTGACTTTTGTTCATAAAACTACCTTTTTTAGAAGAGCCATATGTTCCTCATTAGAAACTGTCTCCAAGGTTTCTTTCCCATCACTTTCTACATCTTCTCTACTCGACGACTCATCCTCACTGGCCACAGGCCCGTTCTCACACAGCGGCGTCTGGAAGTCATCATCAACCAGGGGTGGGTAGCTATACTTGAAAGGATCCTAAGGGAAAAGAATTTCTTGTCAGCCTGCAAAGAGGTATGTGGGGCAGGGGGGTATAATTCTCTGATAGTAGACTTAAAATTTATTACTCTGGCCAAGAAAATAAACTTAATTATGTAATGAAATTTAAAATACAGAAAGCATTTCAAACCAGAAAGTGAAAGAGCAGTAAATAGTGTGGCTATTTTATCTAGAAGAATCAAGTTAGATCTTAAATATAGCTCACTCTTTACAACACAAAGGATTTCAAATAGACAAAAGCTTAAAATATATGTGTATGTTTGTGTGCTTTTTTAACCATAAAAAGCACTGGAACAAAACAGAAGAGGATTAAAAACAAAGAACAAACAAATCTTAAGTATGCATGGCTTTTCTACACAGCACAAAACCTAGAAAGGCACAGAAATACCAATAATGGGTTGGGGATGCAGCTTAGTGCTACAGCACTTGCCTACCATGCATGAGGCCCTGGGTTCAACACCCAGCACTGCAAAACAAAACAAAAAGCTCAATCAACCAACCAACCACCCAACCAACAAAAAAGCTAAAACAAGCATAAAGGAAGATTTTTTTTTCTTGTTTTTAAAAAGGCCACAACTAGAAAAATATGTACCACACATAACAGAAACAAAGATAATTTTTATTAATACAAACAAATCAACAGGAAAAGGGGTAAGAACCTACCAGACACAGGGGTAAGAGAGTATGGTATAGAGTTCATATAAAAAAGAAGATGCCTTTTATTTTATTTATTTATTTATTTATTTTTTTGGTACCGGGGATCGAACTTGGGTCCTTGCACTTGCGCAGCAGGCGACGAAACCACTGAGCCAAATCCCCGGCCCCAGGAAGATGCCTTTTAAATCATAAAAAAGGGTTTAATGTCACTTACAAAAAAGAATGAAAATTAAAGAATATTTTTCATCCGAGACTGGCAAAGTCTACAAAAATGAGAATATATGGTATTGGCAAAGATATATAGTTCAAGTGTTTTTCACACTTTATTGCTAAATGAGCACAATGACTTTGGAGGGAATTTGAAAATAGCTACCAAAATTAAAAATTAAATATACCCATTGATCCAATGACTTTACTTATAGACATGTATTTGTTGCACTTATATACCAAGAGGTATTTATAAGAGAATGGCAAAAGATTATAAAACAAGATATGGCCCTTCAAAACAGGATTGATTATGTTAAAAGATAATAGTCCTACCATTTTGAATAGTCCTCAAAATATATCACTAGCAAATGAAAGGTGGAAATATAATAATCTTTTCTCCATGTAGAAATAAAAATCATGTTTACTAAATGCTATTAAGCTACAACAATTTTACGGGTAAATCATTAAAAATGACAAATCAAAATCACTACTGTGATTTTCAGATACTACACTCAGTACAATAAACTACAAACTAAGTGTAGTATCTAAAATGAACAATTCAGTGGTACCTTGGTTCACAAACTTAATTTTCTCCACAATTCTAGTCGCAAACTGAAATGGACAAGAACTGAATCAAATACACCCATAAGGTCAACACTGAATTTGATTCGGTTCTTGTCCAATTCAGTTTGCGACCAGAATTGCGGGAGAATCAAATTCATGAACTGAAGAACCACTGTATTCAGTTTTTCTAGGTAAAAATGTAAAATATAAACCCTGGAATAGGAGAGCATCAGACTTCAAACAGAAAATTTTGGTTCTTTTCTAATCCAAGAAAACAAACAGGAGGACATACCAAAACTCTGGATCTTGATAGTCCTTGGTTCTCACTGAACACAACCTTGCCAGGCAGGCAGTCTACAAAGTAGACTGTAGAATCAATTCACTGAAATATTATGACGTTAACTGAAAACATCAAATCTGTAGATTTTCCAATATATAAAAAGGTCACTGTCACAACAGGATTTATTGTTATAAAATATTAAAAATTTAGCATGTACCCACTTACTCCCAATTGTTTGTCTCTAAGTAGTAAAAATCAGTTTAAAAATAATCTTGAGTGTTGAGGATAGCCTAGTGGTAGGGCACTTACTTATCAGCATGGGTGAGGCTCTTAGTTTGATTCCCTGCACTGTAAAAACAAAAGGAACACCTCCCAACCTTGATAGTATATGCCTAATAATATCTCTTAAATTAAAAAGACTGTTGTTTAATAGAAAATTAAAAGAAAATTAAAGACTCTACAAAAAGAAATTCAGTAAGTTATCGGTCATCCGATACTGGAATACTATGCAGCCATGAACAAATTCAAGAAAGCTTACAACATATAGATTTGGAATGATATCTAAGACATGCTGTGAACAAAGCAAGATTAATTTAAATGACATAGGAAGAAGGAAGAATCATATATACTTACTTGCTTATATATGTCATACATTCGCCTGGAAATCAATATAAGAAACGCATCTGGGGAAGGGAAAATGGTGATTGGGCTAAGAGCAGAAGGACACGTTTTACTAAAGACTTGCTTCTGAATAGTCTCCTGAATACTGAATGCTCTTCAGTTTAGAACCACATAAACATATTATGCCTTCAAAAATAAAAATAACTTTAAAACTTAAGTGAAACATGTCTGTGGCATTGCTTGGCACTTTAAAGTATTTGTGATCTTTCTTTGGATGTCACGACACTGCTTTTCCTCTTTCCTTGCAAGAATATAGTCTTATGTACTGTTAGCTAGTATTATTTCATAAACACATTGCAAGGAATATACTTACAGTTCCACCCATGTGTGGGGGCAGGTATTCTACACTGACATACTCCTGGACTTCACTTTTACTTGTAAACTTCAGCAAATTCACTGCTTCTGGGCCAAGCCAGGTTTTCACAATTTTGAAAGCAGCTGAAAAAAAGTCACATCATTAAAATTCTTTTCATTCTCTTTATCAATTACTTTATTGTACGAGCTAATCCAGGTCTTTTTGTGACTGTCCCTTACAGGTTTCAAATGTTCCATGAAGATTAAATGACCCTGATGATCATTAGTAAACTTATCAGGGTCTTGATCTCTGAATGTCCATCAATGATCTTAATCACTAAGATTTCTAGACCTTTGAATCAAACTGTCACATGACCCAGGGAAGAGCTACACAATCGTGAAGAGCCACTGTGAAGAGCCATTTGCCCTATGGTTCTGATAGACACTCAATGGGAAAAGCCTTCCCAAAGGAGAAATCAGGAAGAGAAGGGAGTAGCCCTGGTATGGGTGTGAACCAGACCCAGATTTCCTTCCTAACTCTAAATTCTGCCTTTTTCCCAGGCCCTGCAGTTTAATAACTGTGGGGAACTGATAGAAACTACAAGAATAAACTGTTAGCAGACACAGCTATTTAGTAATTACAATCTTGTCCTGTCATGCCATTTCTTACTTACACTTAAGTTTTAAAACCTCATTTCTAATGTGACACTCAAAAGCCTATTTTAGAGCAACTAAAAGTAGAATTCTGCATTAGATGTGCAAAAGTATCAATAGAATAAAACAGGAAATAAGAGCAGCATGACAAACACTTAGTAGCTCAGAAAAGGACATTTTTACTTTGGCTCACTGTGATTCAATTTTTTTTTAACAACAACATTTAAATTTTCATTAATTTCAATTTTAAAAGCTTGCGAGTTGACAGGTTTGAAGCTTTGCTGCTGGAATTAAATCGTGCTAAATCTGATTTTTAAAATAGCTTTGAGATATATTATTTACAAATGATACTAGTCATGGGTTTTCAAAGATGCCCTGTGTCAGGCTCAGCGAGTTCTCTGCAGTGTCACAAAGAATTAGCCTCACTCAAATCGTGGTCAGTCCTTTGCTATCAGCTTTCCAGAGATAATCTTCATGTCTGCTAGGACTGTATTTGTCCAGGGACCTGAATCATACTGGGTCAATACATTTAGGGTGGGAGTTGGCTATGGAGGAAAGACTGGTATGTGACTTAGGTTAGGGGCTTTGGGTAAACTGATACTAGGAGACTGGACGCAAATCAACCAGGAAGGGGTCAGTTCACGTTCATGTAACACTTCTTGTTCCGTCTCTTAAGTACTTTTATCACATAAGGCTACTAGATTTTGTCAAATGCTTTTTTGGTGTCCACTAAAATGATCATGTAGTTCCCCCCCTTCATTCTATCAATATGGTAGCTTAAATTGGTTTCCTTTTTTTTTTTTCTGTCTTTTGGTTTCTTGACACTATGTAGCTTAGACTGGCCTCAAACTCACAATGATCCTCCTGCCTCACCCTCTCCCAAGTGCTGGGATTATAGGCGTGCACTCCCACCCCCTTGGTTTTCATATGTTGAAACAACTTTGCATTTCTGAGTAAATCCCCCTTGGTCATGGTGTACAGTGCTTTTTATATTCCGCTGAATTCAGTTTGTTAGTACTTTCTAAGGATTGGTGCATCTGTATTTATAAGGGTTAAGATCTGTAAATATGTATGGTACTTTATTTTTCCTGTGTTTGGTTTCAGGAGTATATTTTCCTCATAGAATGAGTTGGGAAATATTTCTTCCTCTTCTATATTTTAGGATGGTTTACAAAGGATTGGTATTAATTTTTCTCTAAATAATTCATAGAAATTTTTTTTTTTTGGTACTGGGGATTGAACTTGGGACCTTGCGCTTGGCAAGGCAGGCGCCAGAACCACTGAGCTACATCCTTGGCCCCAATAATTCATAGAATTTACCAGGGAAGCCATCTGAGCCTGAGCTTTTCTTTGTGAGATGTTCTGTCATTACTAACTCAATTTGGCTATACTTTCATTTTGATTCTTTCCGAGTCAGAGTCAATAGCTGGTGGATTTGTAAGAATTTATCCAGTTGATAAGATACCTAATTTCTTGGCATATGTTTGTTCATAGTATTCCCTTATAGTCCTTTTTATTCCTTTAAGGTCAGTACTGATGTTTGTTCTTTAATTCCAGATTTTATTAATTTAAGTCTTTGTTTTTTTATCAGTTTAGGTACACATTTGCCAATTGTGTTGAACTTTTCAAAGAACCAAATTTTAGCTGTGTTGCTTTTCTCTATTGCTTTCTATGGGACAACAGCCTTTTAAAAATATCAATGACAGGGCTGGAGATTTAGCTCAGTGGTTCCACCGCCTGCCTTGCAAGCACAAGGTCCCAAGTTCGATCCCCGGTACCAAAAAAAAAATAAAGAGAATTAATGCACATTCAGAGGATAACATTAAATTTACAATCACTCTGAAGTTGGTAAAATGTTTTTCAATGGTTTTTTTCAAAACTATCTCACCAAAAAATATATTCTATCAAAAGGGCCATGTGACTACAATGATTTGGGGTGAATATTAGATTTATCCCATCTTCTTCCTCAATACTTAAAGTCCATGAGAAAATCTAGCTAAAATCTGTGTTCTATGACATACCATATATATGGGTTGACAAATTGAGGCTTCTTATTATTGTTTACCTAAATGGTTGTATATCTTGAGGCTGTTTTTAGGAAACATTAGTGGATAACCTGAGTCTGGGGGATAGAATGTCATCTCTATTTGCTTAGGAATAGCTTTTGACAACTTCAGCTCTGGCCTCTTAAGAATGCACCCAATTACAATACAAACATTTCTTTAAACAGCTATAGTAACTGGCAAAGAAAGAAAAAAGCAATTCAGACATTTTGTTTTAGGAAAACATAAATAATACACTCACCATTCATTATCCAAGGCATATCAAAGATGACTATTTTTGCTGAAAGATGAAAAAAATTTAATTGCATGTGACTTATACCTTTACAATATCACTTATACTTAGCCTAGAAAAACTGGTAACTTACATGTATGTAAAAACTGAGCTGCTGGCTAAGTCCTAATCTAGTGATGTGTGAGCAGTGCCAGGACTGAAGTAACACCTCACAGTGTTGATGGGCCTGCCCCGGAAGAAGACTCACGGGAAATTAATAAAGCACTGCTACTGTCCTTTGGCAAACAGCCTGTTCCTTTGTTCATTTATTGCTGTTGTTGTTTACAAAAAGGTACAAAAGAAAATAGTTAAGTGGGTAAGTGGAGTCTTTGGATGGAGCATGTCACATCAGTGCTGACGGCGACGGCACTTCAAAACAATTTTCAAGTCTAATTCATGGCTTCAATCATAATTTTCTAGAGATTTTACTGTTAAACCAGTCGCACAGTTGTCTTTTCCCCTTTTAATAAATTACTGTTTCAGGAAAAAATACTTTTACTTTTTAACATATTATGAGTTCCAGGAAGCCAATAATTCCAAAGCATATATGAATATTATTTACATACTGAGTTGAAGATATTAAACAGTCCTATTACCAACTGTGAGAAAGAACAAGAAACCACAAAAGGGAGCTTTGATATCCAATTCATTCTTCTATTATGATGAATCAAGATGTAATTTCATTCTTCTCTGAGCAGAGAACCTCCTAGAGTGGTTATGTTAACGTAGTTAAGTAAAACCACACACAAAAGAACACAAGGTATGAGGAAAGAGGAAGTTTGGTGCTTAACATTCCAATCTTCACCTGAGATATGCTTAAAATATGACAGTTATATTTCATGGCAGATTTTGAGGAATAATCAATTTAAGATCCCACAAAATTCAGTTGTTTGCAAAGCTACATTATGTTGGTAGAATATATGCATCATCTATAGTTAACTGAAATGAACAACACTGAATTCATGATAATAAAGATCCATGAATTTCTTAACAATTTTCTCAAAAGAATCTTGGATGGATTTTATAAAGTAACAATATTTATATTATTTCTAAGTGACTCTTTACAAACTCCTTTAGATAGCTCGATAAAACAGGTAGATTATAGAGTTTCATTTTGTTCACAAGAGGAACCAGCTAATAATAATGAGTAGTGATTCCCTATTAAAACTCTGACTAGCACTGATCAGCAAGTATTACCGAATCAGGGTACATGCCAGATACAGCAAAAACACACAAGGAACAACAGAGCCTACAGGGCCTGTTCACTGTCTTTATCTAGGAACATTCACAAATACTCTCTTTGAAGTGATGAAAGTGCAGAGCTAAGGGTGGCAATGACTCTCAACATCCATTATGCTTTTGTCAGCTCATTTCACATCAACAATAATATGAAAGCACGCCAGAGTAAGATGATTTAGGGAGTTATGCTTTGGTGTCACCTGAGTCATGAGTCCCAAAAGACCCTCAGTGTGGTATTCACCATGAGTATGCCCAGGCAGACCTGTGAATTTCCTGTATATGTAGGTTGGTAGCTTGTTTTTTCCAGGGAAAACCCATAACATAAATCCAACAAATCAAAAACAAGTATATAAGGTTTAGCAGTTCTTCAGGTAATTAATGTAAGAGTTATGATTAAAAATGAGCAAACATAGGGGCCTGGCATTTAGCTCGGTGGTGCCGCACCTGCCTCACAAAGTGCAAGGTCCTGAGTTCGATCCCTGGTACTGAAAAAAAAAAAGAGCAAACAAACTACAAATACTAGATTCAAATGTAGTACATTCTAGTGAAGTTATTTTGTGCTAATTTTTTTGGGGGGGTTACTGGGGATTGAACTCGGGACCTTGTGCTTGCGAGGCAGGCAGCAGAACCACTGAGCTAAATCCCTGGCCATTTTGTGACAATTTTAAAATACAAGCTAGTAATACACTGTACTTCATATATCAATATTATTTATTATACAGTATGTTTTATCAACATTGTTTACTCTTTCATGCAAGAAGTTTTATATAATAAATGATATTTTAAATGAATTTCTAAGTTGGAAGATCAGTAATTACAGACTAATCTTATAAATAAATATATGTTTGTATGTACCTGTATGTGTGTTACGGCATTCCATATATACAGACTAGAAGTTAAACTCTAAAACTGTAAAGGACAATAATTACTTATGAAAAGTTTTCCTTTATCTATCACGACACATTTAAAACTTAAGGAGAAAACAATGTTTCAACTATGCAACTCTATAATAATATAAGGCTCCACAATTCTCAGACATTGGCTACAGTTTCAATATATTTTTATAAAGGAGTAAGTTACTTACAGAGGTATTTAGGGTAATAAACCTTAAAGCAGTTGATGATAAACCGTACAAAGTCCAAGTCCTAAAATAAAGATTAAATCTTTAAGACTGTTCACATTAGAGGAGTTGAAACTGTACATTTGTAAAGGTGATAAAATTATTACATACAAATAATACAATTACTAAATTGTTAAAAACTAAGTTCATATATAAATGCCTGTATTTCTAAGGATTAAGGTAATATATTATTACTTTATTTATAATATTCAGTCCTAAAATTCAGATGAAGAAATGAGATTCTTAGCCATGTTTTAAAATCATTCATATTACCTCAAATTAGTAATACACTTCAGGCTGCTAAGGGAACAGAATGTGGATTTAAAAGCAATCCCTACAGAAAAATTCTAAAAATCTATTGAACTAACGCATTATTAAAGGAAGTATGCACAGTTTAAAACTTGACTACTTGGAATAATAATATGTGTATCTAAACTCCAGTACAATATTTGCTTTCTAAACCTGATTTTTAACCTCGAAAAACAGCTTCAATAAAATATACAAGTTAATCTTATCACACTGATCTGTTATATTTACTTTACTCCTGATCACACTGACCTGTTGTATCTACTTTACTTCTGGCTTTTTTCCCTTTATTCAGGGATCTCAGATTAGATCTTTAGCTATACTCAAGGTTGTTCACTGAGTGTAATTTCTAGGCGACTTTATAAACATGGTTACCTGCCTAGTTCTAATGCTCTGAGTACAGCAACAGGAAATTAGAGGTCATTAGGGATATCATTCACATATCATTTTGTATTACTCCATCGCCACAGGCTGTCTCACTAATCCCAATCGACCACCTTATAAAGGCTGCTGGATGAAAGACATAACCAGGCAAAGGAAAATGTGTCACATTTACTGAAAGGCAGATTGCGCTAGAGATGAGCATTTATAAAATCAGCCCTGGCATCTGAGTTACAGCGGCTTTAATTGCAGCAAACTGAAAGTAAGTGTCCTGACCTATCTTAAGGACTTATTATGGGAAAAATCTTAGTGAGTAATAATACTGTATAAATTATTGTATCTACTGTGCACAGTTCCACAATTGGTAGTTAAATAAGAGTTAAAATAGATGAGAAGAACTAATAATATCCTTGCTCATCAAATCCTGAGCTACTGTTAATTCGAGTGGACTTGGTAGAATGCAGCTGGTTATATCTATTAGTGGGGCCTGTATTAAATAGCTCCTTGAAGCCTATTGCTCTAGATTCTAAGGGTGATTTTGGTTTTGAATGTGTATTAGTCATTATCTTGTAAAATATCCTTCCTTTGAGAACTCATGAAAGATTTTTCTTGTGGTTCAACTATCAGAAATGGACACTTCTCCTAAAACACTGGTTTTAAAATATGGCCATTGTGTAATTTTAAATGATTCTATTTCATTCACGCAGGCAGCTGTAACCGGTAGCTAAACTGATAGCCTATTCTAACAAATGAGATGCTTTTGTTTTGCCTTGTAATTCTATATACATCTTTATAAGCCGACTTAATATTTTTGTGAATTGTGAGGGCCATATATAAAAATAAATTACTCAGTAAGATTCAAGTAAGTTAAAACATAATAAAGACTAAAATATTTAGTAATGCAAATAGTTCATTTACTTATTAAGGTTGGTGAGATAGCATAAGCAGCCTGAAAAAGTCAGACAGCTCAAGTCAATTTTCTACCTCAATACTTGGTAACAGAAAACACTGGCATGTATTTTTCATGGTTGTGTGTTAATAAATAGGAAGCTATCATACTGAAAGGATAAGAGAATTATGACTTACATTTATGGAATATTTACTCATTGAAATAATTTGATTAAATTTTGAACATAAAATGATTTATTCTATAATTTAAAACCCATTCACATGGAAACTAGGCTGGAAAATTCCATGACACTGGATTCTTAAAAAGAGAAACAGAAACATGAAAAAAAAAATCTGTGGCTTCACTACCCCCAAAACAACAATTCTTTTCAGACTGTTTTTTATTTAAGTCTAATGTTTCTTTTTTTGGGGAGGGACTATGAATCACCATATTACAGTATTATAACCTTTTTCATTAAAAGCATTCTCTGATATTCCCACAAATTCTTTACAAATGTTTTCTACATACATTCCATCAATTAGATATACTATAATTTATCATTTCATCATATAGGACATTTGCTTTTCCTAATTTTTCACTATTTTAAATGACATTCTGAAAAACATTTTGATGTACAATGCATTTTTTGTCTTTAGGATTATTTCTTTAGAATAGGTTTCCAAAAGTTAGTTACTAAGAAAACAGGATGAATATGAACACTTTAAGGTTCTTAACATACTGTTCCAAATGGATTTCCAAGAAGATTTCAACAGACCTCTGAGTAAGTCTACAAATGCTACCTCACTGCTACCAGAATCAGCCATGGTTTAACATAAAAGTACCAACATTTAGAAAAAAAATGTGCCAACTGATCTCAGTTGCTGCTGATGGGTCTGTAGTTACTGCTAAGGAACAAAGAGGCCAAATTAAAGACTGGTTGGTTTGGCCCTTTTTTCTTTTTGAGACGGCAACTCGTTATGTTGCCCAGACTGGCCTGGAACTCTTGGGCTCAAGTGATCCTCCTGCCTGAGCCTCCTGAGTGCTGGGATCATAGGCGTGCACCACCATGCCTGGTGATTGACCTAGGTTTTTGAGGTTGGCAAAATCACCTAAAGAAAACAAGTATCCAAAGCCAGTCAATTCAAACACATAGAAAACAAATCCAAATAAACAAAGTTCAACAGAATCACAAAGTGCCGTACGTGCAAATGTAAACATCTTACAATTATAAAATATGATATAAATGTAATGTCATCAAAATCATATACGACTTTACTCGATATTTAATGAGTGTATTCCTCTGTGTGCCAGGCATGGGGGTGAGTGGTACAAGGTATAAGCCTTGGTAGAAAACATCACTGTTATATCAACTCATGCTCTCCCAGGCTTGGCATCCTACCTCTCCATCCTGCATATCAGACAAGGAATATTTATAGGAAATCTAATGTGAATACCAAATACTGAAGCAAATCCAATCGTCTGCAAACCCAATTCCATGTCTGACTTCACTCATAATATAAGGCAAAAAACCCCCCCCCAAAAAACAAATCCCAAACATAAGTTAGTTAGCTCCATTTTACAGCAGTATTTGGTTGGCAGGGAGGACAAAAGAGAGGGAGGAAGCCAGGATAAACGATAATTTAGAGGTAATAAAAAATGCTTACCATGCTATTTAGTCCACTTTCGGACAGGTCAAATATCACTGTGACAGGTTTTCCATTTTCTCTCTTAGCGTAACGTTCCAACCAAAATGCTGTAAGCTTCTTTTTGTCCATTATCGTTTTCTGGTCTTTTATGTGATACTTCACCCTGATCCAGACTTTAAACGAAGAAAAGATAAAAATAAGGACAAGATTTACAGAATTTTAGTATTATTATACATATATAGCCTTTCTCTTGACATGTTTCTTCATTTATAATTCATTTTGTTTCTCAGATTAAAAACATCTTTCTTTTAAATGCACTTGGGACCTTTAAAGAGTAACAGACGTAAACTAGTATTCTTTTCCTTAGTAAATAAACAAATTTCACTTTTAAGTAAGGGGAAAAAGAAAATGCAGGTGAGCAAACACTGCTTGATAATAACCTAAAAGTGCTCTTCAGTGTGCTTAAAAAGAGAGCCAATGGTTCTGTCAAACCCTAGAAGAAATGGTCATCCCAGAGGAAAAGCACTGACGTCACAGGTGTGATGGAGGCTGCGCATGTGAGCAGAGCATGGCAAACCCTTCAGGTGGTGGCAGCTGAGACAAAATGTGATGCGTGGGGAGAGAAGGTGCTAAATAGAGAAGGGCTGGGCTTGAAGAACTTTAAGTGAAATGCTAGGGCATTTTGATTTTCCTATTTCAAAACACCTCTTGGACAGTTGGAGGGAGGGTGGAATGGAAGAGGCAGGGAATGCAACCTAACAGGCTACAGTATGGAAAGAGACTGAGAACCAGGGAGTGGTATTTAGGCCCAGAACTGAGGAAGTGGCTGCTAGTGACGGAAAAGGGGCCACTTGAAGCTATATTAGAGGAAGAGGCAATAAATGGGCTTGAGCTTGGCAATTCATAAAGAGGGCAGGTGGTAAGATGTGGAAGGTCAGTTGTGGGTCTTTTTGAACGTGGCTGAAACACAGCCAAGTGGCACCAGTTGGTGGGCACGTGGGTGCATGTGGCCTGGGAACTGTGTAAGATCCCCACTGTGTATGGGGGGGCTGAAGCTGCCAATGTGCCTGAGATGACCCAAGGAAACAGCATCGGCTGGAAAGTAAAAAAGGCCAAGAAAGGAATGCAGCCTGGGAAACACAGTTTAGGGGGAGGTGGCACAAGAGCTATGAGAAAAGAATGAAAGGGAAGAGGCGGCGATATGAAGAATATACAAAGGGAATATTGTTAAAATACAGCCCAGATCACAAGCTACAGCAAAGGCAAGCAGGATGAGCACAGGATGCCTGTTCAGTCTGGGCCTCAAAAGTGCTTCCCAAGGCCCAACCTTGGTACGAAAGCAAGCTGGATCCAGGGCAAGTGGGAAAGAAGAACAACAAAAGGAGTCACTTGAGCAACAGAAATGACTGTTACCATTCCTCTTGTTATTACACTCCTTTCAGAAAAAGCTAAGGGGAGAAGATGATGGGAGACATGAATAAAGTCCATTTAGCAACCTTTTGTGATTTCCATAAAAATACCGGGTCAAATGTTAACACCATGTATAGTTAAATTAGAAAGAAGACAATGACTACATCAAATATTTTGGCTCTGTTACAGGATGCACCATTTACTTTTATCACCTACTTTATTAAAATGCAAACAGTGTGCACAACTACTAGTATCTGACACTTGGTAAAGATGGTCCTAATGATCCTCAAATGCATGACTTTCCATATGCTACATGTGGAGAAAGTTCTGCTAATTACTAATTCAACTGAGACAGATACCTGCATTTAAATCTTGAAAAGCCAGTGCATAAATTAAATATACTTACACAATTTGTTTCCTTCTTTGTCATAACCATGGAGGTAAATAGCACCAACTTCTAATAACCATCTGGGAATGGAGGATTCATTAAGGTCTAAAAAGTGACAAATTTTCATCAGTAATTATAATTTAGGTTCCTAAAAATGTAAAGGTAATGTTATGTAGCAGCTCTGAAATAAAGAAAAGATATCACTTATTCAAACATCAACAAGAACTCTGGCAATAAAAAAGGAAACAAGCTAAGGACAAACAGGTGACAGAAATGGAAAAAGTTCATTTCTTTTGACATGTCAGCTCTTATTTATATGGCTACATTTCCACATTCTGCTTATGTTTCACATGATAATTTAACTTGTGAACTATTGTATCACTACTAGACAATTTCAGCGAAACGTAGTAGGGTCTCAGGATGTAGCTCACTGGCAGAATACATCCTGAGCATACATGAGGCCCTGGGTGGAAAAAAAAAACCATGTTGTTAAATAGTAACATAGCCTCAGAATTAATGAAAAAAATTACTTCAGTTTTCCTAGTAAAATGGTACTTTTATGCAAAGTTTGGTATCTAATAGACTCTAAGGCACTTCACAACCTTGGGGCAGGTGGAAAATAAGAACAGGCAGCAAACATCAAAGCTTTTGTTTCCTTCACTCCATGAACCTGCATATCAGAAGGAATATTTGTAGGAAATTCTCTTTCCACACCCCACCCCATCATATCTCTGCTCTGGGCCACCAGAAACTATCAATTCTAAATGAGAACACAAGTAGTGTTTAGCTTAAAGGTTTATTCTGTACTTCAATGACTTAAAAATATCAGGTTTATACTTTTTTTTTTCTTGACTAATAAGTGCTTTAGTGTTTGCTGAATAGGTTTTATATTTCTAATCACCTCATTTCTTAGATAGTCTTTTCCTCAAGGATTCCTTGTACAAGTAGAAAGACTGCAAATCTACTCTAGATTTATGTGTTGACTGTTTATGTTAGGTCTTCAGACTCAGTCACTCCAGAGTCTATAATCTTCCAGGACAGGGAATCCTTCTTTATAGCTAATTGAAATTGACAGTTATGCCAGTTTCTTATTAAATCTTTAAGAAGGGAAATTCTTCATATATTTGAACATCATTTTAAAACTCCCTCCAAGATTTAAAACTCTCATTTTTGGGGAGAAATTTCCAATCTAACAGTGGATCTAAAACTTGAGAAGTTCAAGAGATGGCTGCAATAAGTACCTTGGGGCTAAGCTTGCTTTTCTGGGATCCCCATGCACTTAGCAATTCTACGTGAAATACTCATAAACACAAGGAACTCGGGGGACAGGGAAAGATATGGGCAATAACTCAGAAAACCAGTGTCTCCTTATTTCTCAAGCTAGTAGAGAAGATACTGTCTTGCTGTTGTTTAATGGTATTCAACTAAACACAGATTAGGAGACCACTGTTGAGTGTGATTCTGCTTCCTGATAATTTGATTTCCTTATGAATCATCGTACTTTTATAAGATTTTTTCAAAGCTTTTCCTTTGAAAGTATTATTAGATCTTTATAAATACATAGATTCTGGTGTTTATGATGACTGCTCACAGCATGTACTAATACACAATCAGATAAATGCAAAATAGTAACACTCATGCAGGTGACACTTCATCAAAGTTAAACTGAACAGTTTACCATTGACAGAAAACTCTTTTCTCCACTGAAAACTCTCATCAATCATCTTCAGTGTATCGTCCACAACATTATGTCTCCAGTGTAAGTAACTTTCAACCCAGGTATCATCTTGCTGTAGTCTTTCAACATCTCGTGGATCATATTTTTCTGACTTATCTAGGGGAAAACAGCAATAAACATTCAAATTAGATTAATTCTGCAACGAAAAATAATAAACACTAATGCCAAAGGAGACAAAAGACCTGGGACAAAGTCAAGCTTTGTTTTTTTCTTTTTGAGATACTGTCTGGGCTGCCCTTGAACTCACCCAGTAGCCTACACTGACCTCAAACTCACAGCAATCCTCCTAGCTCAGCCTCCAGAGAGCTGGGATTACAGGTGTGTACCACCACACCTGGCTCGAAAGCCAAGCTTTTTGAGGCTAGACATAGGAACATAATTCAGATGAAAATGCAATTTAACACATTCATGACAGGGCTGTAATTCATGTCTCACTGCTGGGTGGGTGGTACATGCATGACTATCCCACTGGGCAGCTTTTTAATTTTAGGAGTAAAAAGAGTGACAACAGTGGTTAGAACTGTTTGCACCACCAGTGGTACAAGCCATCTGATGGGACAGTTATGCATGTCACTAGTGATTCAAGCCAGTGAGAACATGTTAAAAGTTTCATAAAATTTCTAAATGAGAGGAGAACAAAGTTATGTAAAGACTGCAGACTAAGTGTATAGTCTGGTGTGGTGGCACATGCCCGTACTCCCACCTAGCCAGGAGGCTTAGGCAGGAGGACCACTTGAGTCCATGAGTTTGAGACCAGCTTGGGCCACACAGTGAGACCTTGTATCAAAACAAACAACCCTAAAAATATGACCATAGTAAAATATTCAGCATAATCCTCTAAAATTACAACCAACATCTGAGATCAATTTTATGAACTTGAAATTATTAAGGCAGTTGCCAGAAAATAATTTTTTATACAGAAATAACCTAGTTATTCAAAAAAGACAGCTGCTTTATCAAGTGTCATAAAAAACTAATCACATATGCAACATTACGGTATTTGCTATTTTCAGACTCTGAGGACAACATTTCAAATAATTTATTGGGATAATTATTTTCTTTTTTCCAGTACCGGAAATCGAACTCAAGGCCTTGTGCTTGCCAGGCAGGCGCAGTACCTCTGAGTTACTTCCCTAGCTCTCGGGATAATTATTTTCAAAATAATTTCCTCATTGTCTGCCAAGATACATATTATTTTCCGCCTAACCTTTATATCAGATATTCCTCCTTACCTGCCCTCTTCTATCTTCTTGTAAATGAACTCTCCTTATCTCTGTATAATCATCCGCACACATTATGCAAACCCTCCTTTCAGCTGCTTCCTCTTCCATGAAATTCCCTCTGTACCCTCTGTCAAAAGCAATAGGACTTGAACCAAGCCTTTCTCAAGGCACTTAGTTCTGAACTTGAATTACAGTTACTGGCACGCATGCCATATTTTCCAAATAGGCAGTAAAGGCCCAGAGCCTGTATGTCCTAAGAATCCACGGAAGTGGATGAGAGTAGCATCAATGAAAAGGCCTTCTTCAGTAAACATTTGTCAACATAATCTATTTTGTCTCAATGTTGTTCTTCCTCAGCTATCTATCTTTCCCAGGGGCCCAAGCAAAACCTCAGGAAAATTCTCAGGCTTCATTTCCTCTTCTTTCTCATCTAGTCAGCTGCCAAGTTTTATAGATTCTACCCCTCTTCATTTGCATTGCCTTTATTTCAGGGCCCCAGAGATAATGCCGTTCCCCGCCCCCCGCCCCCAAATAAGACCTAAGTGGAAAATAATCAGCCTTGAAAAGTAGAGGTCAAAACTACTGGCCCCAGTCAGCCTATCCCTGCCTTACCTGCCTTACAGAGTAGCCACCGAACAAGAGAACAGTGATGGCAGGTAAGGCAAGGATAGGCTGATTGGGGCTGGCATTGTTGATCTCTGCTTTTCAAGGCTGATTATTTTCTGCTTAGGTCTTATTTTCGGGGAAACAAGGGCTAAAAAGGCAGGAAAATATTCTGCAAAATACTGTACCTAAGTCTGCATAGCAATGGTTTCCTGATGAGTCATTTTTTTCCAAACAAATATAGTGGTCTATGAAAAAGGTGACTGATACAGTTGGCAACTCGAAGGTACCACGCAGTGTTTTATGTGTACTTCCCAATTTTCTCACACAAGGTTAAAAGGACATGTATCAAGGTCAAGATTTAGTAAAATTTACTGTATTATCATATGATAATAGTTTCGACCTCTAGGCTTCTGAAAGTCTTAGGCAGCCCTTAGGTCCCAGACTACACTGAAAACTACTTATAATAATATTTGGCAAGTGGTAAAATCTCAGTGATCAGCCAGAATAAGAAAAATAAAACATTGTTACCATTACTATTGGTAATACTATCACGAGGGATAGCATAAACAAGATAGTGCCCATTACTAAGAAATTTAAAGCCCAGTGGTCTTTGATAGCTTTCAAGGAAGTATATCTTTGAAATTAGAAGCTTCCACTAATATTAAAGTGATTAATTATTGTTGTTAACAGACATGTTCTCACACATGAAATGCTGATTTTTCACTATTTAGCTCTGGACCAACAAATGAAAACCGGAAGTGGGGGGAGACAGATGACTGAAGAGGGGAGCATGTGGGGCTTGGGAGAGAGACAGGAGAAAAGTGAAGGCAGAAGGCAGTAGAAGACAAGGGGATGAAACAGAGGGGAGAGAGAGAATAAGACAGAGAAAGAGAAAGTCAAGGGAGGCAAAGGCAGACAGAAGATGCATAAAGAAAACTGAGCACTCAAGCTAAGCATGACCCAGGGGCCAGAAACAAGGCCAAGAGGGAATAACTCACTGTGCTTATGACAACATTTGTTGTGTTCAAACACAGCCCTCAGACAACTGAGCCCTTAGGTGACTGGGTATTTTCAGTAAACCAATTCTTTGGTGAGTCCAGAAGGGTTTGAACAGGCCTCCTCCAGTGGGGCCTGTAAGAGGTAGTTAGGTCATGAGGGCTTCTCTCTTAATGGGAGGAAGGCCCTCATAGAAGAGGCTTTGTATTCTACAAGCTGAGGCCAGGGGAATGGGAGAGTCTAGGTCACTTCTCAAAAAACAAAAATCCAAGCAAACAAACAAAGAGGCTTCACACACTGTTAGCTAGACTGCCCTTCTGCTTTCTGCCATTTGAGGGGCTCATCAAGAAGGGGCTCAGCAGACAACGCTGGCGCCCTGATCTGGGACTTCCCAGCCTCCAAAACTCAGAGAAAACGAATTCTGCTCTTTAGAAATTAACCAGTCTGGGGTATTTTGTTATAGTGGCACAAAACAGACTATGACAAGTTGTTACAGGAAGTAGCTAAAGATGTATGCTTAAAAGACATTTGAAGATATAAAAGTACATGACTGCATACACATACCTAGCACATCATTTTGAAAGACTTTGTCTATCAATGATTAAAGTGTAGAGATGATGAAAGGTTTAGTTTTCTACATAGATATATTATATTCTCATAATACTTTATCTTTATTACTTTCATCTTGCTACGGACTAGTAAAAACACCACAAACTAACATTAATAAAACTATGAGCATACCACACCTCTGGTTCATTGACCCATTTCATTTTAAATATTTGTTCTTATACAAGTTTTTCTCTGTAAATTGGCCTTATATTTATCTGAGCGTAATCATCACCAAATAACTAACTCTAGCATGCCATAATCCACATGACAATGGCAACTGACCCCTAGGGACAGACAGAACTAAATGTTCTGGGTTAAAGATTATTTCTCTCTCTCAGCTTTTTATCTCTCTTCTACACAACATACTTAAAAAAAATAAACTGTGTTACAAGATAAAGAGACTATAATTCTTACTTGTAAAACAGAGTGTCATCACCAACAGGTTAGATACTGTGTTTTAAGGTTCACAAATGTGAAACATTTCTACTCCACATTCAGGATATGGGGTAGAGTGATGGAATCAGAAGGGCCATGCTGCCATGTATAGGCAGACTGAGCAAGTTCCTTTGGGCTTTACTTTCTTCTCTGTAAAATGCAGATACGAACTGCCTACCTATAGTCTTTGAAAGATCAAGAATATTGAAAAATTTAAACACTATATAAATGGATTTCTATTAATATGAAGTAGAATGTCAACCATGAAAGACTAAATTCAAATTTACTTCCAGTTAACTAGTTAAGAAAATCTTACAAATTTGTTATTATAAATGTGTCAACATTTCAGATAAACATGGAAAAAATACAAAAGTATTCTGATATTGAAAATTAGAGGACAATTTTTTTCCCCAGTATTGGTGACTTAACCCAGGGCCTCACACTAAACTATATCACCAGCTCTTTGTTTAAATTTTGATCTGCCTGCCTCAGCCTCCTGAGTAGCTCGAATTACAGGTGTGTGCCATCGTACCTGGCTAGATAAGTTACTAACTGGGCATCATAATGTTCAAAAGCAGCAATCATACAACTCTAGATCATGATAGCAGTTTAAAACATCTGATTTCTTATCCTCCCACGACTCTGAGCATGGATCCACTGAGAGTCCTGACAGGGCCTGGGAAGAGCATTTATATTAGGTGGAGTATTTCTATTGGCTGGACTGTGTAAGTATCAAAAATGGGAGTGATCCAGCCAAAATAACAATGTATTTCCTTAGGGGCATCCTCTGCTAGTTGGCTACAACCTATCTTAAATTTTTACTTTGGTGTGAAGCCATCAGTAAGACCTGGTGAGAGGTGATCTTTCATGATGGGATTAAGCCATTGGCCTACAGTGCTGATTCTCAAACTTCAGCATGTCTCAGAACCACTAGGAAGGGCCTGATAAAACACAGAGTACTACATTCCATCCCTAGGGTGTCTAATCCAAGGTGGGATCCATGAAGTGGCATATGTAACAAGCTCCTACATGATGCTGATGCTGGTGGTACAGGGACCACAATTTGAGAACCACCAGTCTACTGAAGGATTGGCAATTTTTTTCTGTATAGGACCAGATGGTAAGTATCTGAATATCCTAGGCTCTGAGGGCCACAGAGGTCCTCTGTTGCTGGTACTTCCTTGGGTGTTTGTGTGCTTACCTTCTTAAAAATAGAAAAAACATTCT